GAATAAAAAAAGTTTATATTGTAAGTTATATAAATAATTTACTTCTAATATATTTATAAACTTGCAATGTAAATTAAAATTAAAATACAATAATATTATAATAAATATATAAATATAAATTTAATACTACGAACTAATATAAAATATATATATAATAATAAATTATATATATATTTTATATATATAATATATAAATAATAATAAATTATATAAATAACTTATTCGTACACATTAAATATATTCACATAAATAATTATTTACCATCAAAAATATATCCCTTTAATTTATACGTGATCATTAACATTAATCGATATTGCATGCTAATCGAAGCGTAACAATATTTTTACCATACATTTACCATTGACTTTATATTGAAGCGACTTTTCATTCAAAACAATAGAATAAAAATACGAATTAAACATATATCGAAATCTAAATTCGACAACAAGCTATTTAATTTTATAATAAAATTAAATTTAAATAATGAATAAAAAAATGCAAATTGACAAATATTTACAAGTTTATGATAAACTTTATACGAATATAAAAATTTGTAATATCATTATATGTTTATATCAACAATTATTATTATTATTATTATTAATCTTTTGATATATATACGCATTTTTATGTCCATTATTGCGATACACATAAAGCGAAAATTTTGTCTAAGAGCTAATGAAATTTTTGAAAAAATTATCTACAATTTTATTCCAAACACTAAAGTTATGCAATTTACAAGTCTCACCTGATCAGAGCAGCATTTATGCTAGTTTGCACTAATCTCTGTATTGCGAATCTTATATTGTCAACTATTACTGATATGTATTAATTTCTTCGTACACACTTATACGCACCCACGCACCTGTTACGATATGTTTAGTTTACAATTTAATAGAAATTTTTTTCCCCCGTTAAAAAACATAATGGCAATGCGAAGGACGGCTTACGTTAAATACAAAAGAAAAAAAAGGATAGCGCTGGGACAGCGAGAGAAGCACGAAAAAGGCGAGCTGCAGGCTGCGTGCCAAGCAGCCACCCTTACAGCAGGCGCGCGAGCCTACTACTGAACTTACTAGACTGATTGCCAGCCTCGCGAACCGGCACATTCGCTCGGAATCACTCGTCTCTCACGAACATCGGATATAACCCACGATCATCGTCGCCGAATTAATTTCGAAACAATTGATTAATTTCTTATTTTAATAAATCTTTAATTTAATAAATCATTGTAAGTGTTAAATTACAATGAAACGAATCCAAATTATATATAATGATAATTACAAATTTGACAATAAAAATATTTTTCCATAAGATAAGAAAATAATTAACACGATTTTCAAGCAACTACTGCATAACTTGTGCCTTTAACGTATTCGATAATTTACTATTCTAAAATTAAGCGGTAAAATATTAATTCAACAATACAATATTAATTTTTACTAAAGAAATAGTACTCAGTCTCTATGTAATATTGGTCTCTAAAATGGATAAAAAAATAATATAAAAATATTTTTGATTTAAAAAAGTTTTATTAAAATAAAATATTAAAATTTTCAACAAACGATTCTTCAACAATTTCAAAAGTTATAAATATATCGAAAGAAATGGTTTTCAGGGTAATTATGAATCAAAATTTTGTAATGATTTTTATCATACTTATTTTTTTAATTCATATTTTACCAGAAATAAAAAAAAAGTACAATTTCAACCGTCGGATCGAAAGTATACGCGTATGTATTGAAAAAAAAAAAAATGAAAGAAGAAGTAAAGGAAATAACAAAGGTACCAAATTTATCGTATGTGTTTGTGTAAATACATATACACGTATATAATAATATAAATAATGAATTTCATATATTTGGCATAAATCACTTTTAAATTTCTATAATCTACAGTCAGTGGTATCCAAACCAAGCTTAGAATTTTATAAAGAACTTCATTCGTTATTGCAACGATATTAACTGATGCGCACTAACACACGCGCATATGTACAAATATTTTCTGGGAAAGCTTAAGTATCATAGTTTATTTTAAAAATGAAGTTCATAGAAAAAAATTAAAAATGATATCATAACAAATCTATTGTCTATTGTCTTATTATAAGAATGATGTGTGATAGGATAAAAAAAATCACTTATGAAAAAATTCTCAACTTATGGATAACACTGACTTATGCAATATCGCGTATACATTTACGAATTAATTGTGCTTACAAAAAATTACAATTATTATCGTCTACATACGAATCAATCCTAGTACGAAATCTTGTGATAAATTAATTTTTTATGCGTAACTTACAAATTACAAGAACAAATAATAATAGTAATATTTAAATAATATTTTATAAACTTCTTACTTATTATATATGTACATCCTTATAAGTAAATATAGTAATAATTGCATTAAAAAATATGGAAATTGTAGTGGGGGTAACCATAAAAGTATCTTCAAGCGACAAAGGGAGAAAGATACACGCAAAATTTACAATCCATAATTTCTATAAAAATAATTTGAAAAGCATTATTATGTTTTGAATCAATTCTCTGTTTATGCTCATATCCGATATGATATTTTCTAAGATTTTTTTTTTTTTTTTTCATCATTATATTCATAATTATCACCACTTTTACTTTTATTGCTCTTAATGTAATACCACGCACAGTACTTTTATAAAAATATTCATTCTAGCAACAGTTGAATTACTTTTGAGCAAGCTATTATGTAACAAGCTACACAAATATTTATAATTATCCACTCTGTCGCCCTCTGTCACTTGT